TATATACATATATATATAAATTGAGAGAGATGGGAGAGGATAAGGCGAGACACTTTTGAAAACTGATATCAAATAACAAGTAGAAGAAACTGCGGAATGTTTGGAAACATCTGCATACAGGTAGGCTTTCTTTTAGCAACTTTGTAGGTAACTTTTTAAAGTTTCAAAATTCAAAACATGAAAAACAATTATTACTGGTACAATTTTAAAAGTAGAAACATATAAAATGGCTACCTGATAAAAACATATCTCTTCTAGGCACAGCAAGGTAACGCATATTATAACGATCGAAATTGAGTATTTATTAAAAGCACACGGATGCCTGGTCAGGAACACTCAATATCTCAACATGATAGAGCCCTTATTAGGAGGGTGCAGATTAGTTCTACGCTTGACTGGACTGATGCAGTTCCCCGGGCAGCGTTTTGTTTACTGAGGTCTCCGAGCTGGGAGATAGACGGGAGACGTTGTGTGCCCAAGGGTCATCGATCGAGTGCACAGCCTTCGCTCCTGGCTGGCTTTTGATTAGGTGGTCCGAGTTTGTCGAGGTGTTGGGCGCACTGTTGTCTTGGTTGATAGAGATGGGAGGACAAGCTTTGCCGAGGAGCCAGTATGTGGTACACATCCCTTTGCCCTGGTGATAAGAAAGGGAGAACGAAAGAGCTTTTATACTGCAATAAATTCACAATATTAAGGCTCCAGAAGGATGACTTAATAAAAATAAGATAGTAACAGGAAAAAACAGAACTGTGGAAGACAAGTAGGAATCGCTATGGAATTTGACAAAGGCAAAAAAGCAACCGATCAATAGTTTGTTTATCACACTGTAGGTAAAGGTAGCCCCATCTTTCCATCCACCTCAATAAGGTTTGAAAGAACTGGGCGTGGTTGAAAGCCTTTTCGACGTAAAGTTTTCAAAAAGTCGTTAGTCGAACATTGATTTGGAGGTCATGGGCTCTTAAATAATTCTAATATGAACAGGCGACAGTACAACCGACAGGCAAAAGTACAACATCCAGCTACCTTCACGTCTCTGTTCCCACGCACGGTCATTCGGTAGCCGCCAAAGTCCGTGAGTGCCTGGTATGTGTCCTCGCTGACGTGTATCTTGAGGGCTAGAACGAGGAAGACGACAAAGTGTTTAGAACTAATCAGAGCTTGAGCGTAAAAAGTATACTTCTCACCACTTTCTAAGCTGTTCCCATTCATTAATAGTCTATCTATCTATTTATCTATCTATCTATCTATCTATCCATCCATCCATCCATCCATCCATCCATCCATCCATCTATCTATCTATCTATCTATCTATCAATCTAGAGTGTAAAAAAATAAAGAATAGTTTTGTACAGACCATAATAAGACAACGAACAAGTAGAATTATTATCACTAAACGTATTTGCAAAGAGGACATATTGAATTAGGAAAAAGAAAAAAAAATCAGAAAAAAAGAAAAAGAAAAGGAAAGGCATAAGCTCACGTTCTCCTGTGGATTCCATCCTCGACGCCATGTTGACTGTGTCTCCAAACAGGCAGTACCTTGGCATGGTCAGACCCACCACACCTGATAGAAAACATAAGGCATCGTTGCTAGAATATGTAGAAATAGGTCGTAACAGCTATAATTTGCGTAGTGCATAAAACTTTACACTACGACGTCTAGTTTTCAAAAATCCCCATCTCGCACACACAAATAAAATAATAAAAATCGGGACTGAAAAAGCTCGAAACACAACAACCAAGCTTTTCTTGCCTGTGAAAGAAAGTATCCAAGGGTTGCTACTGCGGTAATAAAATCACAGCCAAAATTTACATTGATTATTACCCCTGAGCTCTTCTCCGATAATTACGATTGTTGATTTAACAGCATGTTCGATCCCACACCCCAGGCTTGTGATGGAGTGATCAGATGTGAAAAACTTTTCTGCAATTCACTTCTGTCCTTTTACCGTGGGTACTGGGTGAGTTAATTTTTTTTTCTTTTAACATTGTGTTAGGTTACTGGGAACATAACTCAGTTCAGACTTCATGCAAAAAGAAGTACATGGACACAATAAAATTGTTGTCGTGCCAGTCTGGAAAAAGGCAAGGTTGTTTTTTCGACGGTGCTGAAGTTCTTATTAAGTTCTCGTGTACGTCACCTTACTTCATTTGACCTTGGATTATATTTATTCCAAGAAAGGACATCAGAGTTTTGAAATCTCCTAAAGAAACTTATTTCTAAATCATCTTTCATATTCAACGCATTTGTCTATCCAATCATATCGGCGACAAAGGATGTACCCTTTGCTAAGTAAAGAAAACAATTGTCAATTGCCTAGGTAGACGGGTGGCTCGAACAATAAACTTTAAGTGAGTGACTCATACCATAGCGCTTTTGGGAGGCGTTTCAACCAAAAAACAAACAAACAACAAACCTACACACTCCTAAAACCACCACACAGACACAAAAACGCACTCCTGATCCATTGACACCTTATGCAATTAATTTTGAATTGAAGTTCCTACTTTTTAAAATAATATATATAATGATGTAATGGGAGGAGGAAAGCAAAGTAAATCTAGTTATTTAGAAACACAAAGAGAGATTACGCCTTTAGTAGAAACCAGTGACAATAAACAGGCGCCAATACCCGCTGCACAAGGCCCTGTGTGTAAACCAATCCTGAGTAGCATCTGTTTGTCCGGCTGGTGGCGTATTCTGAAGGTGAAGATGGAGGTGAGGAGGTCAAGTGCCATGTTGGCGATCTCCATAACATGGCGGTTCTTGTTCCGGATGGGAAGGCCGCTGGCCACCATATAGGCGTCTCCTATCGTCTCCACCTGAACATTAATAATATTGTTATAACGTTCTCAAGCTGTTCAACACTGTTCTAAGCCAAGAAAGCAAACACTTTCCGGACAGAAAAACTATTTAAATTTATCTTTTCTTGCTTTTTTAACATTTAAGAGAATGAATTTCGACATAATATTTCTCGAACACATTTAACCGATACTACAGATTAAAAAACTGCAATTTAGAATACTCAAAATTTTGGGATTAGTACATCGGAAGACAACTGTTTAGTGAAAAATACATCAGCAAATGTAAAAGAAAGATCGACAGTGAAATATGATAAACTTTTTTCAATTATTTACTTTGAAAAACTCTATAAGCAAAAAAATATTTCAAAACCACTGCGGCTACTTTAGATTTCAAAAATCCTCTAAAAAGACTAAGGCTATACCTTACATGTTCCTTTTCTTCTCAGTTTTGCGAATTGACACAGCTGGGCGTGTTTTTGGACTATTCAAAGTACACGAACCAAAGTCCAGTGCGAGGGTTATCATGAAGGTATCTGTAAACATTGAATTCAATTTTTTCCTCGAGCTTGTCCAACAAACAGAAAACACTAGGTTTTCTTAACAGCGCTTGTTATGCTTGTAAGCAGCGACTACCTTCATGAAACAATGGTCATTATGTAATGTGATACACGTAACCATAAAAACAAGCTGACAGTGTTCAATTAAGAAAGCGATGTAGAGAACGATATTTGACACCACAAACCTTGTATACGTTGTGCTGCGCTATCACAAAGTCGAATCTGGTGTAAAGATCGTTGAGGAGGTCCACGATCTCCATGGGAGAACTATCGCCTGCCAGGCTGGTGAAGCCCACTATGTCCGAGAAGTAGATGGTCACCGACTCGAACATTTCCGGACACACCGTCTGCCCAAGTTTAAGTTTCTCAGCAACAACCCTAGGTACAATGGGTCAAGAAAATGAAAATAAAAATAAAGGAAGTGTAGTTATTCTTTTTTTTTATAATTTTTTTTTATAGATAATCAATGAAGTTGAGAAAATTAGAATAAAAAAGGGGCGGTATGAAGACATCCGGACTTCAGTGTGTTGGAGTTTTATGCCCTACCATCACAACTATGTTATTTGAGTGTGCGAGACAGAAAGACAGAGAGCGAGATAGATAGATAGATAGATAGATAGATAGATAGATAGATAGATAGATAGATAGATGGATAGATAAATAGATAGATAGATAGATATGCGGATAGATAGATAGATAGATAGATAGATAGATAGATAGATAGATTGATAGATAGATAGATAGATAGATAGATATGCAGAAACAGACAGACAGAGAGCCAGAGAACGAGCGAGAGAGCGACAGAGAGAGCGACAGAGAGATAGATAGATAGATAGATAGATAGATAGATAGATAGATAGAGGGAGAGAGAGAGACAGAGAGAGAGAGAGAGAGAGAGAGAGAGAGAGATAAAGAGAGAGAGAGAGAGAGGGGGGGGGGCGAATGGAACACAGCTTATTGCAGTCCACGTTTGTATAATTAGATTGATACGCACTTCGCCCCCCCCCCCCCCAAATCTAAAGTAAGGGCTAATACATTGTTACTCTGCTTTCAGGTACTTTCACGGATGCATTTGTTCCTGTCACATAATTATGATGGTATCTTCATTGATCTTTGTGGCGTACTGGTATGATCTACTTCTTTTAGGACTACTTACCTTCAATCTTACTAATGGTCTAATAATTAGCCCCTCGTTATATGTAGCTATGATCAGGCTGACTTTCCTTGGTATAAATTACTGCTGTCCAGCGACTTGGAGAACGCTCAGTATGTTATGGAAGCATGGCTTTAAACGCTATTTATAGTCTCTCTCTGTGTGTGTATGTGTGTGTGTGTGTGTGTGTGTGTGTGTGTGTGTGTGTGTGTGTGTGTGTGTGTGTGTGTGTGAGAGAGAGAGAGAGAGAGAGAGAGAGAGAGAGAGAGAGAGAGAGAGAGAAATACACGGATTCGATTATTTATTTGCCTCTGGCAGACCTCAGGACTGTAGACAGAAATAAACTCGAGAGATGAAGCCGTAATCAGAGTGGCAACCAGAACCAGTTACATGTAGATAGGACAGTTTGATTGAGAATGACGACATTGCATGGTAGATACACTATTCCAAATAAAGAATATGATTCCACCTCTCTCTGAATCTAGGTTGTTTTAGCCTTTTGAAGGATATTCGCCACATCACATTTGGACAGATGTCAATCCAGAAGTCTAATCTTTGGACATTTCGGGACGTGTTGCTATGGACATTAGAATTATTCTCAAATGGGGATGTACGGGTACATGCAAGAACTCACCGAGGTAGCATGCGGTAGAGTAACGTGTCTGATTTCTTTCTCTCTTCGATGAGTGCCGAAGTCCGCAGCTCCACAATATCTTCCAGGTTGTTGGCGTATCTCTCCAGCATACACACCATGTTGTCCACAATGTTCACTCGTCTAGGGATGAGCGGGGCGCAGAGAAATAGAACAATAATAATAATAATAATAAATAGCATTTATACTGCGCATTTCCATTTTCTAAAAGATGCTCAATGCGCATTACAAGGAAAAAGATATCACATCTTAAAAATTAATCGATAAGTGCGTACGTAAAACAACGTATTATACATATAATATAAATGCATAACATTTTATATGATAAAAATAGTCTCGCAGTGAGGTTGAAAATGTGTTCACTAAAAAATACAATGCAATAAAAATTCACGAACGGTCACAATAAGTTGAAACGTGAGTAACTAGAAACATTCATTAAAACATTAATTCTATACAGATAGAAAAACATTTCCGTTCTCTCTCTCTCTCTCTCTCTCTCTCTCTCTCTCTCTCTCTCTCTCTCTCTCTCTCTCTCTTTCTCTCTCTATCTCTCTCTTTTCTCTCCCTATCTCTCTCTCTTTTTCTCTCTCTCATTCTCACACGCTATTTTTTCAGTCTCACAGTCAGGCATACACATGCATAATATATATCACAGTACATCATTATGACTGGTATGCTTTTGTGAATAAAAAATGCTTCAGCTGATTTTTGAAAATGGAAATTGTTGGGGCAGATCTTATTTTATACGGGAGTTCGTTCCATACATGGGGACCAAAGAATAAAAAGGAACGCTCGCCGTATGTTTTGTAATTTTGTTTTGGAGTTTTAAGAATTAGATTATCAGAGGCTGATCTAAGGGCTCTAGGTGGATGGTATAATTCCAGGAATGTTTTAAGATAAAAAGGTGCACTATCATTTATACTTTTAAAACAGAGAACGGCAGTTTTGTATTTGATCCTTTCTTTTATGGGCAGCCAGTGTAGTTCTTTCAGAATTGGTGTTACGTGCGCTGATTTCTTTTGTTTCATTATCAATTTTGCTGCTTGAATTTGGAGTACTTATAACTTTGATAGTTTTTCGGATGTCAAACCGGACAAAATAGCATTAGAGTAATCTAACTTTGATAAAATGAGTGTTGTTACAAGTGTCTTGGCTGCTGCTTTAGTTAAATAATTTCGTACACTGCCAATTTTCTTAAGCTGAAAGTAAATACTTTTGCTGAGCTGGCTAATTTGGGAGGATAAATATTTTTTTCTTCTCAGATACCCTTTAAACAAATGACTGATCTGTCGATTGTGAGTTTGTCCGTAGCAATGTCACTGGTTTTGATGCACATATCACTTTGATATTTAATGACGAGTATTCCCTTCAATTTTGAGAAGAGATTTAAGTTGACTTTTGGACGAAACATTAACAGACCTGCTCTTTGATGTTTAGCGATTACTAGGGTGACTTTGACGTGTACACGGGACTTCCAGTTTTCTTGTTCTTTATCAAGGTTAGGTATTTGATATCACATATTCTGGAAAAATCAAGTAGTTGCGGGGCCTTCTGAAATCTTCTTCATTCACTTTGGTTTGTTGGATTTTTGCTTGTTTTAGTGGGGAGTCGGTTGGTGGGGGGGGGGGGTTCTTTTAAAACTTTCTTTTGTTGTTTTTACTTATGCTGCTTTTGCTTTGTGTCCTTTTGTGCGCTCATTTTGGTTTTGCCTTTTCTGAATTAAGGGAGGGGATGGGCATGAAAAGTAAAGGAATAATGGAAGTAGAGTAGAGCATATATGAGGCTTGCATTGCGCTTGCACTGAGATATCATGAAGTCATGATCTGCCTGACCACACTAGAGAGGGAAGGAGTTTGATTTTAAAGGCCAATATGAAAATTAATATTAGGATCTGCTAAATTGGAAAAGACCAGTTTGAAGCTCAGTGATAAAAAACATGTACGTAAGATGAAAAACGATAGCAGTAATAATATACTTAAATAAATATTGCTCTTGTTTATTTGAGCATATATTCTGTGTGCCCTTATTCTCAGTAGAAATTTGTATCTCCACCAACGTTATCCAGGAAAATCTAAAGTATACTTCTATCGTTAGCCCCTCCCCTTAAAAAACAAATTATGAAAATGTTGAGGCATACACGGCAACTCCTATGAATTATCAGTTTTCTCACTGGTAACTTTTCAATGGCCCTCAGGACGTTCCCTGTGACGATATTTCCCTGTCATTCAAATACATATCTCTTTTTTATGAAGAGATTTAAGTTGACTTTTGGACGAAACATTAACAGACCTGCTCTTTGATGTTTAAATAAATAAATCGACACATTTCACATAATAAATAAAAAATCCTTTTTACTTTTATGAACGCTGTTTCTTTTCAATATGGCGCCCGTTACCATAGCAACCGTAGACTTAAACCCCCCAAAAAATTACAGCTACATATTAGAGATGTTTTCTTTTTATACCTCTATGCTATAAGGCTTTATCTGAAAGGTCATAGTTACCGAGATAGGTTTATAAACCTGCCTCCCCCCCCCCTTAAAAGTAGCTATTGTTACGGTAGACTTTAATATAAAAAGTGTTCTGAAGGGGAAAAATATAGGTTCCGAAACAGGTCAGGCAGCGAGACCACTTGAAAGCTTAAATTATTAAAAGGATTGAGGTCATTCCTTTCACTAAATTTTAACTCAATTATTCTCACAATACGGTTGTGAATTCATCAAAATAAAGTTCATGTAAGTTCATCTTCATTCGGGCCAATTTTCATTCCCTGTCTACTCTTTAAAAGAACACCTGGGAAAAGGAAAAGGAGAATAAAATTAGCAAAAATGTATCTTTTTCTTCTGTTTGGGAGTCACGAAAATCAGATCAAACTCAGTGGGGCCCAGTTCTGCATCCAATATTTATTCCGGTTTCTTTAACAGAGAAAAACTCTACACACACAGCAATCACAAACGTCCAAAGAAGCAATAACAGAGATGAGACAACGTCAGCAACTTGAAATGAAATAAATTGGAATTCTTAACATTTTAAGAGCAACCTAAGAACCACCATATAAATGCAGGATTATTATACCCCAGCCACATAGATAAAAATGCCTGCCTCTGCCTTGAATTCTCGGATTTGAGCAGTTTAATATCTGGTAAAGTGAGACATTTCCATATTTTCATCCCGTCTACTCTCATTCAACTGAAATGTGATGATTTATGCACAGTTCAGAGACAACTTGACTTGGGTTGCCATGGAGATGAAAACCCTCTGTAAGGCGTGCAATATTATTTATTCTTAAGACAATTGTGAGGCATGATGGTGAAATTAAGCGAGTGTCAAAATAATGAAATGGAAGAAAACGACACTTTCCCTCCTGTTTGACAGTTTTTTATCGAATGTTTATTTTTTAGCTCAACACCTTTTATGTCCATTAAAAACATTGCTATTTGGCTTTTACAGACAAACTTTGATTTTAGGCATTACAAATGTAAATCTATTGTTTCCGAGGACTCTCAAGCTTTGGAAGTCGCCAAATGTTTGCGGCCCTTTTTTCACTTATTTTACTTCTGAGACCAAGATAGTGACTTATATTGAAGATGGAATTATATTTTTTTCATCGAAAGCAAGACAAATGAAATTAAGATGATACCAATAACTCAATATGCTAAAAAAATTGACGAGCGCCTGATTCCACTGCGTCGAAACACAATTGTCACCTCTCAAATTGTCAGTCTGAGAAGAAATAATACTCTGTTTTACTGTGAAACTTAATCGCTTCGAAGTGAATTACTTTAAAGAGGAAAGTTTGTTCGCTCAAGCTCAAGAAACAAGGACAGCTTGTGCGGAGCAATGATTACACGCAGTGCACACTACTAATCGGATTCATCGGACTAATCAGACTAGTTAGGTTTCCCTTCCTGGACGGGGTAAACATTTACCACTTCAGCACACAACATGACTGAATTCAAGTAGAAACCTTCAAAACCAAACTCGTTTTTTAACGTTGTGAGACGAATCGGTCGTTTTGTGTCAAAGTAGGAGCCTTCGCCTCATTCATAAAGAAAAATGTTGGCCCCGACTAAATTAGATGAGTCCCACTGGCAGTGTGAACTGGGTATAATCATCATTCATCACAGCTTAGACTCTGTTTCTGTTTCTTGAACTATTTGCAGGCACAATTCCTTCTTCCGTGAGCATGAGGTATTAAACTCTTTGCCAAAGCACTCAGAGGACGCGGATCTGAATCTTATGTGGTGAAATTAATGAATAGAGTATCTCCGTTAGTTGCATCCCACTCAAGCAGGGATGGCCCTAGCAGACAGATACGAAACAGCCTGCCTCCTAAATGATGTAAACTATGTCGATGTTGACACGAAAAGAAGTAACAGGGTGAAGGTCGTGAGTCAATTAATTCATAATACGGACTTTATTTATGATGGTTTGGTTTACAATGAGTCCCCACTTGTATTCTATCTTTGAACTTTTGTCCATACTTATAATTTTAAAAAAATTAAACGCCCTATCGAAAGCATATTTATAGTTTGAAATACACGAATCTGTCACGCAGGCAAAGCATAATGCACGCCATTGATATCAAAGAAACTTCCTGCTTCCAATCCTGGTATTCGGGTCATTTTAGAAGACTTTGTAGCTTACTTTTAACAAAATTCCCACGCAGATTTTCGGCATAATAGTATCTAAGGATCCCTCCAGCGACCAGGGTAACCTTTTTCAAAGTAGAGATTAAGCAAGAACTAGATAAAAACCAATTTACTCTCATAGAGGTTTACATCCCTCTATTAATGCAACGCTTCTATCAATAAAGCCAAAACAGTGATTGGGAACACGTTGAGGCCAAAATGTACCGCTCAGTTTCTTATTCCTGTAATGCTGTTTGCGCCCAGTGTCAATTTATCAAATGGACATAAAATACTTATGACGCATAAAACCTACTGCATCTTATACACGTATTTTGAAGCATTTATACTAGTCTTGCACTTGTTTAGGACGTGCATAATTCATTGCTTTTCACATAAATGTGTATGATTCATGGCCTGATTTGACTTTTATTTGATGTTTCTCAACTCCACTCACTTTCCCTTGTTCACAGAGTTCCAGTTTGACTTGACGATCTCAATGTTAGGCCGTTTCTCCGGCACCTGTTCCACACACGTCTCTACGACGTCAAATGCCACGCTGGGAATATCAGGGTCAGGAGAGGAAAGATCAGCGTGGTGGTTCACGTCCGGTCTATATGGAGGGTTCTCTGTCACTCGAATACGCTCCACGATTTCTGCACAAGAATGAAATTTTTAAAACATGATATTTTGGGGGTTTCTCTGACTCCGCGAACCAACTAAAAATGACCATTGACAGATTTAGCTTCATAATCACCGATAATAGTAGACTCCCAAGAAAAAAAAATCCCAAAAGAGACGCCTCTTTGACTAGCAGTATCTTTGCAATGAATACTACCACAGTGTTGTAAAGATGAGTATCATTCAAAGCTCTTCCAACATTCTCAGGTTACACAAAAGGTATGGCCACACATATGAGAGGACAGATGGACTATTTAAGACTTCTACAATAATCGCAAGATTTCGTATTTAAGGAAATGAAAGCTGCCCCTTTTGCACAGTGTGAAACATGATACCACCTGAAATAACAGTGGTCACATACCAAATGAGCTACGCTCTATTTGAGCGCATCTTTGCACTAAAAGTTTCTAATTTTTGTACTGTGATTATCAAGATCATGGGTAGACTGGGGAGTTTTCCAATTCTTTCCTTTCAAATCGACCGGATTGTTTCAAAGAAGAATTTCAAGTGAAGGTCATTGATGAGACAGAAAGAAATAGAGTCCGAGTTTTAAAAAAAAGAAGAAACATCGATTTAATCTTCAAAGTTTTGCTAGACCACACCAATTGATTAAAAAAAAACTCGAAAGAAAGCTGGCCAGAAAGCGCAGTAAGTGCAGAAAATGACACACAACCCTATTCCAGGCAGGAAGTGACATGTGGCACCCTTTTAAGATGGAGTTGGCCTTCTGTAGGTAACTTACTTGAACACTCATATCCGTGTATCGAACCGAAGTTCGTCATTGTCCCAAGAGGATAATTCATCTTTAATTAAGTTTTAGTAGAGTTTTTTCGGCGCTCGCAACTGCATAAGGCGCTGATATGTACCCAAAGATATAATCTGTGATCATTACTGAATCTCGTTGACAAACCAGTGGAAATTACTTTTTTTTTTTTAAACGTGTTCACCCAAGCACAGAAGCAAACAGTGAGCGTGAATCATATCCGCATGCACAAAATATTCTACAACATTCTGTGGTTTGATGGTGGGTTTAGATGGTACAAAGAGATGCTGTGTCTGACTGAGTGAATCACTGGGAAGTCAAGTGAGCTCTCATGCGGAGGGAATACAACATTTCAAAAAGTGCTTTAAACTCAAAATTGCATTTCGTTTACCTTTTGGTGTATAATACTGTGTGTCGTATGGCTCATTCCGATGTAGTATTTCCCACAAGACGATGCCGTAGCTGTATATATCCGCTTTCTGTAGCTCTAAATGAGACTTGAGGTCCACGCCAGATCGCAGGATTTCAGGGGCAGTCCAGAATTTACCTGAAAAGCATGATCAGACAGATAAGATAAGATAACTTAGCATGGATGTTTCTGGTACTTGCGGGTTTTCATGAGAAGATGTACTTGGGTGGGGAGATGGACAATTTGTCGGGTGCACTTTATTTGTGTGCGTGGTGGATTGGGGGGGGGGGGCAGCCTGGGGGTGAAAAGGATGCATTTTCGTTGTTAATTTTTCATTCTGGTATAGTTGATTTATTCCTTTGGCTGTTTTTCACCTTTTATTCCGAGCTGAAGCAAATGGATATATTTTTGTATGCATTATATTGTCACTGCTGGTGGATATCAGATTCGAATAGCCAGGTATAGAAGGTTTGAGCAAAGGCAAATGATATGAATCATCAGAGGAGACACAAAGAAGCAAAAAGAAGAAAAAAACCTTAAATCCCCAGGAATACATGAACAAAAGAGACACAGTGCATGTAATGAAAAGTGCACACTGGATTTGGCCTTGAAACACATTAGCAAAATTAGCGCGCTTTGAAATATTGAAGCATTAACAATCGTAAGACATCATCATGTAAAACTGACATACATTCTGATATGACATCTCTAGACGGGACTGGCTTATCAACTCGCATCACGGAGATTCAAGAAATTGGAACTGCAATGTTCAAACCGTCAAACCTTATTTATTTGTCTCTAATGAAACCTCGAAATACGTTGTTGCATGACAAAGCTTTCGTGACAAAGATTCTATTGCGGAAAAAAACCTCGAAAATTAAAGAAAGATATAAAAACCCGGATTTAAAATCTCTCGTTCCGAATTGGATGGTGATGAATATTAAATCTATAAAAACTGAAAAGACTGCAGCTCTTCTTTTACAATGGCAGCAGTTTTAATTAGGCCTCGCATATAAAAACCCAGCGTTTACCTGTCTGTGCACAAAAGTGTGAAAAAATAACCTATTCACACTTTTTCAGATCTTTGTCTCGCTATTCCCCCCCCTCCCCTCTCTCTCCCTCGACTCCCTCCCCTGCATACCTCTCTCGTGGTCAAGGAGTTACCGTGTTCCTCTCCCATTCAATATGTTCCGGTTTCGAAACCTGAGAGCGACGGAATATTTTTTCTATAAAATTTTCTCCGTTTACCTCCTTGCCTCTCTCTATGTTTTGCCTTCTGCTGTCGTCTCTACTATCAGCCCCCCCCCTCCTTTGCTCCTTCCTCTGGGCTCCTGACTCTTTCTGCAGCCTTTCTACTGCTTATCCTTGGCTCCTTCTTATAGCTGTCTCTCAGCCACACCCCTGATCTCAAGACTGCATTACACTTTCATTTAAGACCAGCAGTTGTCCGTCATCTTTGTGATAAGAAATTGTCACTTGATGCAATACCAACTAAAATATTTCTTATTTTTGTGTGATCTTTCAAATCCAGCAGGGAAAAAAACGTCTTTCAGTACTCATTTGGTTAATTTTGATACGTTGGTTCCGAAGTTGATGTTATTTCTACGTTTTGTAGTTTATAAAAGTTTACAAAGGAAATCTTTACCACCAGGGGGCAGCAGACAGTCCCAAGGCCGGACACGCTTAAGCTACGGCGGACCGGTCAGACAGCCTGGAAATTTTCGTTTAGTTCGGTATTTTTGTTGTTCTTACATTGCACAGAGATACCACTAAGCTAGATCTACCTAAATGGTATACCTTTTATTTTGAAGTAAAGTAAAATTTGAGAAACAATTTTCATAATATGAACAACAAAAGCCTAGTGCTTTCTCAATGTTATGCCCGAATAGGCAACATTTAAAGCATTTGTTTTAGTGAAAATTATATCAAATTTCGCTTTGATTTCGACCTACATCCTGCTGTTTTTTCACTTTTATCTATCTATCTATCTATCTATCTATCTATCTATCTATCTATCTATCTATCTATCTATCTATCTATCTATCTATTTA